CCTGTTTCATTAAAGGCTTATTCTGAATCCTTTATTCCCAGGATGAGAGCTCACTTGAGAAAAGCATGACCAGTAGCAAGAACCAGGATCCAACCAGTGTTAACAGTATTTTTTTAAATGCACACACCATTTGCCTCTGTAACTGCCACATCATTTGTTTATCTAGGGTTCAGGCCTACCACTTTCTAGGCTTCACTGTCTCCACTTAGGAGCCTGCAATAATGTCTGCATCACAAAGTCATTACTAAGGATTAAATAAGATGGTGCCACACAGTAAGTGCTCTGTGTGGTGGTTGCTATAAATAGTAAGAGCCCATAAAGGCAAATCCATGTCATTGTTAAATTTTAGACCAGCAGTACTACTGCATTGTTTAAGATTTTTATATTAGAGGGAGTTTGCCTATCTGCTGGTTCTCTCCAAATGGCCGCAGTAGCTAGGTAGGGTTGGCCGGGCTGAAGCCAAGACTAGGTATTCAGGACAGGCCTCCCACGTGGTGGCAGGGACTCAACCACTTAAGCCATCACCTGTTGCCTGTCTGCCTGCGTAACAGCAGGAAGCTGGACTCGGGAGCAAAACAAACTCGAACCCAGGCATCCCAAATGGTACATCAGAAAGTACTATTTCTGATGTTAGGAACATTCATATTGACTTTATTTTCCCTTGTTACCCAGCCTAAAGGCTGTGTTCAGTTTTCTCAGGAGCTCTGTCCAGCCCCATGTCAGACCATTCCTGCTTCTCCTACCATGTGGATTCTTGGGGCTAAGGCAGTGCTACAGGACAGTTGAGCCCAAGGCAGGATGATGGCCATAACCACTCAGATCTCTGAATTGTAGTGGTGGCCTTAGGGTCCTGTGTTACATGTCTTGCATTGATTTCGTTTTGCAGAGAACGAGCCCTCTGTTCTGAGCAAAGTGCTACTGGAGGATGAGGTTTTGGTCGCCATGGTGTCCGTCATCGGCACTGCCACCACCCATCTGAACCCTGAGTGAGTGTGATCCTAAGTACAGCCTGATCCTAGGAAGGGTAGTGCTCTTGGGAAGAAACACTAGGTAGCAAGCTAGCTAGTCATCTGCCCTTTAACCCACACTTAAATGTGAAAGCGGTTACTTGGCTTTGTTGACAAAACAAAAGTAAGGCACTGTATGTATCACCATGGACTATGGTGGTGATGAGCCTTGGGCCAGTGGTACTTAGCTGTGGATATGCCTACACATCAGCTGCGGGTGACATTTATGGATAGAGTTCTTACTAGACTGGAAGGTTTTGTGGTTTTTGTTTTTTTGTTTTAAGATTTATTTCTATAACAAAGGCAGATCTACAGAGGAGAGACAGAGAGGAAATTCTTCCATCCGTTAATTCACTCCCCAACCGGCCACAATGGCCAGAGCTAAGCCAATCTGAAACCAGGAGCCAGGAGCTTCTTCTAGGTCTCCCACACTGTGCAGGGTCCCAAGGCTTTGGGCTGTCCTTGACTGCCTTCCCAGGCCACAAGCAGGGAGCTGGATGGGAAACAGGGCCACCAGGATTAAAAACAGCGCCGATATGGGATACTAGTGTGTGCAAGGTGAGGAATTTAGCCACTAGGCTACTGTGCCAGGCCCTAGATTGGAAGCTTTAAGAGGAATTAGATCTGTCTGCTCTACAGCTTTATCACCAAGACTTGTTAGAATGGGAGTGGTCTCTGACACATGCTATTAGCCAAGTTAATGTGTGCAACACACAAGTGGTCACAGACTGTCCTATTGGCTCAGTGGCCCTAATGTGACACCTACCTAGGGTGAAAAGCATTGCTGTGGTGGGGTGGGCTGCCTCACAACGCTGGTTCCTTGGTAAGGCCTAGTACTCTACCCCAGGTTAGCTGCCCAGAGTGTCACCTGCATTGTGCCCCTCTTCTTGGATGGCAACACCTCCTTTCTGCCGGAGAATAGCTTCCCAAGCAAATTCCAGCCATTCCAGGTGAGCTTGATGGATCAGATGAGCTTGGAACTTAGGTCCTTCAAACTTAGACGAATCTGGGACAGACAGTTCTACTGGCACACAAGCCTGATGGGGCTGCTGTTCCTCTGCAGGATGGCTGCCCAGAGCAGAGGCGGCTGGTTGCATTGCTTATGGCCTTTGTCTGCTCCCTGCCTCGAGAGGTAAGTGAGCATATCTGCACAGTTACACAAGTAGGGGAGGATTCCAGATGATCTGTCGGCTGAACTTGGCCTTGGGCTGAATTGATCTTGTAGTTGACCATCCAGAGAAGTTGGATGTCACCCTGGTCCTTGCTACCACCTGTTTCAGGGTCCATTACATGTCCGCTTTTCTGTAGGTGGAAATTCCTCAACTGAACCAACTCATGCGGGAGCTGTTGGAACTGAGCTGCTGTCCAGGCTGCCCCTTCTCCTCCACAGCTGCTGCCAAGTGCTTTGCAGGACTCCTCAACAAGCACCCTGCAGGTACTGGCCCAAGCTCTATCCTAGGACAGCCCATTAAGACCAGGGTCAGGCAAAGCACATGGAACCTAAGAGAAGAATGCTTTATCTGGTTTGACCACCCTGGTGGCACTGCTGTTGTGCTTTTTTGGAAGCACTAGCACCCCTGCATTATGAGAACAGCAGGCCTTCAGGCTGGAGTCAATTTTTTTCCACAGACAAGATGTTATATCCTTTTCTAGCAGCTTTTCAAGGAATCCTGCACTTAAAAACTATTTATCTCCTAATTATTAAAAGAAAAACTGTAGTCCTTGCATCAGCTTTTCTCCCGTGCTTTTAGGGCAGCAGTTGGATGAATTCCTCCAGCTGGCTGTGGACACGGTAGAAGCGAGCCTGGGCTCCGGGCCATCTCGTAAGGAGGCCTTCACACTGCTGCTGTGGGTAAGCAGGAGGAATGGACAGTGGCTGGACACAGCCATCACATCTGGCTCAGTGTGATGGCCTTTCCTGACCCTGAGCCGTAAGCAGTTGCATCTAAGGGTCCTGGGAGTTGGGAGTGTCCTGCCCTGACTGCGTGTTCTCTACAGGTAACAAAGGCACTTGTGCTAAGGTATCATCCTCTCAGCTCCTGCCTTACAACCCGGGTAAGTCCTGCCTGGAGACTGGAGAACCCAGGGCCAAAGCATATGTCCCCATTGTACCGCAAAGATTCTCTCTCTCCAGCTCATGGGCCTTCTGAGTGATCCAGAACTAGGCCCAGCAGCAGCTGATGGCTTTTCTCTGCTCATGTCTGACTGCACTGACGTGTTGACTCGCGCTGGCCATGCTGAAGTCCGGATCATGTTCCGCCAGCGGTTCTTCACAGACAATGTGCCTGCTTTAGTCCAGGGTTTCCATGCTGCTATCCAAGGTAAGGAGAGTTTCAAAGGCCCTGAATGCTTCTTTAGAAACCAGGTTCTTGCTCCACTCTTTCCCCTGGTGCATATGTTTTACTCTAGTCCCTGCCAATCTCTGTAGCTGATGGTTCAGCCTTGTCAAGAGATTGGAGTTCAGTTATTAAACTGGATGTCTAAGCCTGTGATCTTCCCTGAGGTTTTCCATTTTTTACAGATGTGAAGCCAAACTACCTGAAGGGCTTGTCCCATGTCCTTAACAGGCTGCCCAAGCCTGTGCTCTTGCCAGAGCTGCCCACAGTAAGTCCTGCAGTAGGAGGGAGCTTCGCAGCAGGGCTCACAGGAGTGGCACAGGATCAGCCAGGACAGCCTGCTCACCAGCACGCTTCCCATTGTCCCTTAGCTCCTCTCTTTGCTGTTGGAGGCCCTGTCCTGCCCCGACTGTGTGGTCCAGCTCTCCACCCTCAGCTGCCTTCAGCCTCTTCTGCTGGAAGCCCCTCAGGTCATGAGTCTTCATGTTGACACCCTTGTCACCAAGTTTCTGGACCTCAGCTCCAGTCCTTCCATGGTACGTGGAGCCCTAGCAGCTCTCCTGCAGCCACTCTTCTTGGTCTTCCCCTCAAGTCCTATCTCATGGTTATGTTCCAGGCTGTCCGGATTGCTGCTTTGCAGTGCATGCATGCTCTGACGCGTCTGCCCACGTCGGTGGTAAGCCTCTCACCTATCTCCCTGGCCTGATAGAAAGTACTTTTTGGTCTTAGTCAAGTGGGATTAGCCACGTTACTGTTGTAGTTAGGAAAGAATTTTGTTCATTGGCCATGAAATGAACCCAAAAATCCTGACTACAGAATGACCATGTTTTGTCCCTCTGAATCAAAAAGGGATCAGACACGTTTGGCTTTCTTTGACATTAGCTCTACAAACAAGTGGCACCCAGTTGCTTTGGCTGAATAAGACTAAACTTACTTCTCCCTACACAGTTGCTGCCCTACAAACCACAGGTGATCCGAGCCTTAGCCAAACCGCTAGATGATAAGAAGAGACTGGTGCGCAAAGAGGCTGTGGCAGCCAGGGGAGAATGGTGAGTTTTTGGTCCTGGGTGAGAATGGGATAGGCCTCATGCCAATACTGCTAACATTGTTCCTGCTTGTAGGTTCCTGCTAGGGAGTCCTGGCAGCTGAGCCCTCAGTCCTGACCTAGACTATTCCAACGGACAATCTCACCTGGAGTTAACTCTCAGCCATCCTGCTCAAGGAAGGGAGGCTGGTGGCCTCTGGCTTCCTCCCCCGGACACAACACAAATGCTGGGTCTCTGCTGCATGACTGTACAAGAAACCTAGCAGTCATGGCTTCTCATGGCTTCATGATGTAACCAAGCATGAAAGGACTTGGGTTTCAAGAAACGTCTTAGGCCATGTGACCCCTCCATTTCTGTTGAGGAAAGGGAGATCACTGCTGAGGGTGAATGCAGATGAGGACAAGTGTATACCTGCTGAATAAATATTTCTTTTGGTAATGGGACTATCAGATATTTTCCCCCACCCTACATGTACCTCAGTAGCATATACCCAGGTGCCAGTAACCAAAGGTAGAGAAACAGAAAAGGCATGGGAGGTATGGCCAGCACGCTTGCTCATCAGGCCTTGACCCTGACCTTCCAGTGAGTGAGGCAGAGTGAAGAGCTACATGTCATTACAAACCACTTTTATTTGCTCCCATCAGTAACATGATAAGCGGCAGTGATCCCAGTCACAAGCCTGGTGATGTGCCTTATTGAGACCATGAACTTGGTTGTACCAGCCAGATGCTTTCTCAGACAGCAAGTGAAAGAGGTGATGCCCAAGGCCAACACTGCCACCTGAAGCAGTCAGGGTCAGCACCGGCAAGGTGGCTAGCTGCCTGACCCCTGGCATGGGGCTGGAATTTCTGTGTGCCTGAGTAAAGGAGTGTCGGTTCTAGGACTTCTCCATGACATATGCTTCTGCAGTGGCCAAAAGATTGGTCCTGGAGTTGTCCGTACATGGTACACTAAGGCAGGCTCATGGGCTCTTTTTGATCAGAAATGGCAAGAAATGCTGCCCTTGGAGACCCATGAGACACCATCAATGTAGGAAGCAAAATGAATGCTTCAGATGAAGCCGGCACAGTCCAGCTCACACAGCCATCACAGAGGCTGAATGAGCAGCCACCCAAGGCGGAGGCTCCCAGAGCATTCCATTCCCATGGGGCAGGTGACTAGAAGGCAACAGCACCCGGGTAAGCCAATGCCTACAAGAAAGAAATGTCTGCTTGAGTTCCATCCTTCCTATTCAAAATTCTCAACACCACCAAGACAAGGGTAACAGTTCTAATTTGCTGCACCCAGGTTATCAGTCAGTGTACTCTTGCACTTTTGAAGGGGCTACTACAAACGCAGTGGTAGGCAGAGGGGATGGAACAGGGTAGGGAGGCTGGAAGGCACTTGAGGGCATCTGGTCATTACTGCCTCAGGAACTGCACTATCAGCAATGAGCTCCCCAAGGTGGGACAGCTAGCAGAAGGCTCACAAATGACTAACACAACGCATTGCCATAAGCAGGTGGGAGCTAGTGGCTATGTATTCTGCCTGGAGGTCCCTTTGATATAGCTTTCTCAGGACTCCACTACAGTCATCTCAAGGCCTCAAAACCACGCCGCTCAGGCCTTAAGCTTCTTCAGCTCCAATGTACCAACACAGTAGCCACTAGCCCATATCATGATTTAAATTCACAAAGATTGAATCACATCAAAGTTTCTTTGATCACACTAGCCATAATCCAACAGCTGCTCCCCAGCACAGACCACTTTGCTCACGACAGTTTGTTGGACAGTGTTGATCCACATGTCTCACTTTACCTGCCTGTGTCCACACCCAGGAATACCTTCCAGTTGTCCAAGCAGCCATAGTTGTAAGGGTTCCTAAAAACCTACAGGATCAAGAAAAACAGATTTCTACAAACTTTTATTTAATGTTATAATTTTCAGGACTAAATTAGCTAAGGTAAGGCACAGGTAGGTTAGTTCCAACTGTGGAGGGGCCTGCTTTAGTCAGCCCCAACTGCGGCTTCCATTTATAGGTTTAATTCCCCACCAGCTCATCCCACGCCCACCATCCCACTCACTCTGCCCTTGGCCTGTAGCCGACGTCTCTCCTTCTTGTTGATGTGCCTCTCAATGCTGGTCTCGCCTCGACTGATGAGAACAGCGTGCCATAGAGTTAGCGCACCCAGGGCAAGCGCCACAGAACTAAGAAAAGCAGAACAGGGATTGAGCAGATTAGAGGTCTGGACAAGCTGCTCTGAAACAGTGAAGCACTGATGGCGAACTCGTACCCTCTGCTCCATCTTCTCTCCCAGATGACATGCTACATGAATTCTTACTGCATCTAAAATGGCATCAGTGAAAGGGCTAGGAAGAACTACATGGAAAGGAAGGAGGAGAAACACAGTTGACACCTACCCTTTAGGTAGGTGCTATGAGGATTAAGAAGTTGAACCCACCCTGGCACATAACAGGTACATGCTCACAACCTTAGTGTTTGGAACAACTAGCACTAGTCTAGTGCCTGTGGCCACTCCCGCCTCCAAAGGCTGAAGAGAGTTACATGCTGCCTCCCTGCCAGCCCATCAGACCCACACAGTGGCAGTTCACTTAGGGAGGGGAGTACCTGCACAGGAACCAGAGGTAGACAAGACTCTTATGAGTCATCCGTTCTCGAAAGGAGAAGGTGGGTGGTGGAGTCTGATGATAAGTCTAGAAAAAAAAATGGCAAAGCCTGGCTCATTTGCTCCATTGGGCTGGCGCCCCAGCACCTGTAGGCAGGAAGTGATGAAAACCCAGTAAAGAGAATGGGGGGTTAAAGCCACAGAGGAATCAAGGCAGCAGCCAGATGGGCGGGCCAACCAAGCCCAGCAGCACCATTTGGACAAACACTGGGCAGAGCAGGTCTGGACACGATGGCAAAGCACAAGTGGAGCTGACTCTGGGCTTTCAGGTTGACAAGACACAGGGGGTGCCAGGGAAAGCCGCTCCAATCCCCAGCCAGGACTCCTTCACTGTGTGGCTGTATCCCAAGAGAAGAGACCAGACCCACACCCAGAATGGACTAACTGGAAAGAACCATAAGCTCTACTGAAGGCTGAAAGGCAGCAGAGGTACGATCACAGGAGCCCAAGGTGTGCTCAGAATGATGAGCTGGATGAGGCACAGGGATGGGGGAGGTAACCCCAACGCAATAGACCAAGGGCAAAAACAAGCAGACTGGGCCAGCCTGACTTGTCCTCTGGGGTCCCATCACATGGACTAACACAGACTCCTTGCTGCTCAGGCCATTCCCAAGGCAGAGTCCTAGCTCAGCCCACAAAGAAGGTGATGGGATAGTGGAAAACTCATATGCCAGGGACATTCTGATGCCCCAGGCTGCTCAGTCTACCCTCTGCAGACAGCCTCCTGAACACTCCTGCCTCTAACCAAACTAACAGGTGGGCCCCAGTTGCCTGAGCAACTCTGTACCCCCAGGCCTGAGCAGCAGGAGGCAGTAGGGTGGGGACAGCCCACCTGATTGGCAACCGCCTGTAGTTTGTTCTTGTCGAGCTGTTTCATTTTCTAAGGGGATGGAAAACAGTGCCGGTTATACTCTCAGGCCTATGAATAGGAGTGCTACCAGCCCCATGCCTTAGAGACAGGTTCCAAACCCTAAAGCTGGGCACTACTACACCTGCTCCTATTCATGAGCTCACCTCAATGGCAGCGTAAGCCTCCCGGAAGAGGTCCCAGCTTCCATAGCTGCAGTAGACACAGCCCAGAGTCATAAAAAAGCAGAAAGAGAAGAAGTACCGATGGTTATAGTGGCCCACACAGTTGTTTAGCCAAGCTGGCAGGTCAGTGATTAAGGATAAGATCAATTTCAGAGGACGTCCAGGTGTCTCTGGCCATCCCTCAGTCATCATGACATCACCCAGGCCTCACGCTTCATCCTAGTCACCACACTGTGTTGTAGAAACTCACTTAGGATCCCAACGTCAAAGTGAAACTGTTCTGTGCCTTTTGGGAACCCTTGTGTGCCACCGGGAAATCATGAAAATTTAGATCCTTGAGTAAAATGACTTTGCCAGACTTCAACTTAATTGGGATCAACCAGACATCTGTATGGAACAGCAGAAGGGGACCAGGACCCATGGTTCTATATTTGGCACCCACTGGACAACCACAAGACTCTTAAATGACTCTACTCAGTAGCTGCTGGCATGACTGTTAAAAAGAGTTCCCATTCCACGGAGATGTGGCACAGGCAGCCTTTAACATCCCCTACCCCTGCAATGCAGGACATAGCCCTCAAATCCTCTCCTACTAACTTTGCAGCCGAGTGTTCTCTGCAGGGTGATGCCAGAGTGTTTGGCCATTCACCCTGGACAGCGCTCTGGAGTTTGGGTGTTTGGCCATTCACCCTGGACAGCGCTCTGGAGTAAGACAGGCCTCAAGCAGGAGAGCAAAAGGATACGGCAATGATGGTCCATCTTGAGCACACACCTGTGAGAGAGGGACAGAGGCTCTGTAAGGGTGGCCCAAGGGCACCCTGCCTAGACATGCAGAGGGCTTCATGCATGTGTCAGAAAATGCCAGGTCTATGTTTTGTCACAGAGCTACTGCATAAGGCTCACAGTGGAAGCAGGCATTTGGCATGACAATTTAAATGCTGCTTGGTTGGGCTGGTGGTATGGTGTAGCAAGTGAAGCATCTACCCACAATGGCACTGCATTCCATATGAGTGCCAGTTTCGATCCCAGCTGTTCCACTTCCAATAATCCAACTCCCTGCTGATGTGCTCAAGAAAACAGCAGAAGATGGCCCAAGTGCTTGGACCCCTGGCACCATATGGGAAACTAGGAAGCTGCTCAGGGCTCCCATCTTTGGGTTAGCCCAGCCCTGGTCATTGCAGCCATTTAGAGAGTAAACCAGCAAGACAGATATCTCTGTGTCTCTTCTTCTCCATCTCTGCCTTCTAAATAATTAAAAAAATGATTTAAAAAATATGTTCTTGGGAGCCAAGTGCAGTAGCTAGTGGCTAAATTCCTTGTCTTGCATGCATCAGGATCCCATATGGGAACAAGTCTGTATCCCAGCAGCTCCACTTCCCATCCAGCTCCCTGCTTGTGTTCTAGGAAAGCAGTTGGGACAGCCCAAAGCCTTGGAACCCTGCATTCGTATGGGGGACCTGGAAGAAGCTCCTGGTTCCTGGCTTCAGATCAGTTCCAAACGTTTTAGTCATTTTGGGAGTGGATGAAAGATCTTTTTCTCTGTATTTCCTCCATATATCTCCATTTCCAATAAAAAATAAATCTTTAAAATATATATGTGCTATTTGGGATACCTGCATCCCATATTGGAGTGTCTGGATTTAAGTCCTGGCCTCGTCCCCAAATGCAGCTTCCTGCTCAGGGACACCCTGAGAGGCAGCAGATGACGACCCAGGGATCCGAGTCCCTGCTGTCCTGGTGGGTATCTGGGGAGTGAACTAGTGGATGGAAGACCAATCTCTTTGTCTTTTATAAAGGGACCCAGCTGAGGTTCACAGACAGCAACACCAAGACCCACCTATTGCAGATGCTGCAGTGGTGTGTGCGGGCTGGCTTGGGGTAAATGCACTTCTTACAGATGGACACTGAGGCAATGTCATTCCTGCCCTGTGAAGGGGAAAAGAGCATCACAGCCACCCCAAGGCACTGTCTGACAAGTCCTGGGACTGCCTGCCAGAGCCTCCAACTCCCCTTTCCCCTTCCCATTTCCCGTTCCCCACAGGCACCCACCTGGGGTGGATACCCAGGTGGAGTGGTGATGGCCTGGTAGTAGTGGAAGACAATGAGGATCAGATTCCAGTGGCTATAGAAGAAATGCCAGCAGAGTCGTGGCACTGAGTAGGTTCGGAGAATGAGGGGAAGGACACACAAATAGGCGATGGCCACGATAGAGCCCGTCAGCACGATCACCAGCACCACGAACACCTGCCAGCACCAGGGAGGTTTGGAGACATGTGAGGACGCTGACCTAGAAAGGAGGCCCATCTCTGGGGGAAGGGGCTAGTCTCCCAAACTCAGTGCAAAGCTACTAAATGCATCCCTCTGCTCCCCCCAGACACCCCTGCCCCTGGTCCCTGGGCCTCACTCACCACCCCGAACCAGCGGATCACGTTGTCCACCAGCCAGTAGACAGGCTCAAAGGCAGCATCGACGGCAGTGTCGCTGCCCCCGAAGGAGTTGTAGAGCAGGGAGCGCAGGCAGACTCGGCCGTAGCGCCAGCGCCGTACCAAGCCACGGAGCAGAGGTGGGCAGCGGCGCCTGGAGCCCAGTAGCAGAAGCAGGCGCAGGCAGAGGCGGGCCGGGCCCAGTAGCAGGCTCCGCTGGCCCCGCATGGTTCCTAGGAAAGCAAACCACCGGGAAGGGCCAGCATGAACTCTGTCCCTTGCCCCGCACCAATGAGAAGGTCTAGTGCATCCAGAGTAAGGTCCAGGTAGGCCAGTCTCCCTCTGTGAGAAGGAACAAAGCACACCCCTGCCACCTTTTTATGGGATGCCCAGTGCCAAAAATGTCCCAACTGAATGAAAGGCAGCAAGGACTGGAGACTCACAACCATGTTAGTGCGCAGCAAATCCAAAGTGACACCCACCTAGACTCAGGGCCATGGAGAGGCCAGTGACTTCAAACCACAAAGCAGGGCCAACACAGAGCTGTCCACTGTGCCTCGGGGTGGCCACTGTAGCCGAGGGACCCCACAGTCTCCTGCCAGCCCTGGCCCACTGACCGACCGACCTTCACCACGGAGCAGCCAGTGCAGGAAAGAGCCCGCAGCCTGTGGATCTGCACCTGAATCTTCCCCAGCACTATCTAAGTCTCAGCAAAAAAATACTCCTTCCTGCTTCTCCAGGCTGATATTACAGGCCAGCAGACTCCGGTCAGTAGCAGGAGATTCCATCTCCCGGCAGGACCATCAGCTACCCCTCACAGGACATAAGATGCTTTGTCTCCAATTCCACTCCCAGCTCCACCCCAAGGATACAGTGGCCAGGACAACTGTGAGTATTCAGAGCAGAACAGCCCAAGAGGGGAAAGGACAAGGGTCTCCATGTTGATGGGCATCGGACCTCAGGACCAGCCCTGCTACAATGGATCTCCCTTCTAAACCTTCCCAGCCCCTAGGCCCAAGGCTGATTCCCCACTCTTTAGCCCCATTCATGTGCCTCAGTAGGTACCTCCCACTCCTTGTCTCTAGTTCCCACCTCCTCTGACAGCCAGGGGAGGAAATCGTGACCAGGACAGCATACCCACACACTCTGATTGTCCTGTAGACAGACACCTTCCCGAAAAAGAAATTATTTGATTTTCCCAGAGGGCAGTCAGGAAGGACTGCTTTGTTGGAAGCCACTCCAACTGATTTATTTAAGAGGCAGCTCAAACACAGAGGAAACTGGAGGAGGCTGCTCCACTGCAGGGCAGCTTCGGTTCCGTAACTGGAGCAAGGTACTCTCCTTGCACCTGGCTCATGCCCACAGAGAGCCTTTCAGAAAAAGCATTTCACTTCATCACTGCCCTCCACAAGCCCTGCCAGCCCCAAGAGGAAAAGAAGCCCAAGAAACATAACCTATAGCAGGATGAACAATCTGCACAAGGTGAAGAAACTGAACATTCCCACCACCTCTTAGCAAGTTAAGAGCATTATGGAGTGCAGAACGAACAAAACAGAAAGCCCAGTAGTTAGGTCACTGACTGAGACCCCAGACTAGAGTGCCTAGGGTCAAACCCCACCTCTGCTTTCAATACCAGTTTCCTGCTAATGTAAACCTGGGAAGCATCACTGATGGACCGAGATCCAATGGGAGATCTCTTTCTATCTGTCTCTAACTCTGTCTGCCTTTCATCTTCACATCCTTTGAGTTGGACTTGAGCTTGGAACCATGATTTTGCTTCAAGTGTGAATTTTCACAACAAAAGATCCCCTAGCAACAATCAAATGAAAGCAGATTGCCCCGGCTCTGGTGCAATGACTCAGTTTGCACATATTAGCATCCCATATGAGCACCAGTTCATGTCCTGGCTGTTCCACTTCCCATGCAGCTCCCTGCTTGTGGCCTGGGAAAGCAGTTGGGGATGGCCCAAGTACTTAGGACCCTGCACCCATATGGGACAGATCAGCTCAGCTCCAGCCGTTGCGGCCACTTGGGGAGTGAACCAGCACATGGAAAACCTTTCTGTCTCTCCTTCTCTGTATAAATCTCCCTTTCCAATAGAAATAAAGAAATCTTTAAAAACAAAAAAACAAAAAACAGATAGCCCCACAACAAATCCAGGTGACTTTAGAGCAGTCCACAGCACTGCACACTTCCTTACTCTAAGGGAGTTTCCTATGGTAAAGTGCTTATAGCAATAGCACGCAAATAAGATACATTTTTCATTTGTAATAAGTAGAAACTACATGCTACTTCACAGCCACAACTCTTTTTCTTTTACTCAAAAAATTTATTTATTTTTACTGGAAGTCAGATTTACAAAGAGAAGGAGAGAAAAAAACATTGTCCGCTAGCTGGTTCACTCCCAAGTGGCCAGAGCTTGAGCCAATCCGAAGTGAAGAGCCTGGAGCCTCTTCCGGGTCTTGCACGCAGGTTGCAGGGTCCCAAGACTTTGGGCCATCCTCGACTGCTTTCCCAGGCCACAAGCAGGGAGCTGGATGAGATGTGGAGCAGCCAGGACACGAACCGACACCCCTATGGGATCCTGGCACATGCAAGGTAAGGACTTTAGCCACGAGGCTACTGTACCAGGCCTGGCCACAATTCTTTGAAAAAAAAAAAAAAAAAACAGAGCAAAAGCCTCCTTGTCAGATTCCAACTTTTCCAATTGTCTTCACCCAAATCCATCAGGAAATTCCTCCCTCTGGAACCAGATTCACATTCACTCATTCACTTGGGTTCTGTTCTGCCCCTAAGTATATCCCCTGTGACTTTGGGCACACTAATGCCCCAGCTGGAATTCACTCTTCTTGCAAATCCTTCAATGAGGGGTTGGAGTAGAAGCCACAATTCCTTCCAGCTCTAATCCTCTGTGATTCTAACATAACATATACTCAGTAAGCTATAAATGAAATAGCCACACAGCTCTTAGCACAATACCTGGCTCACGGGAAGCACTCAGCAAGCACTTGTTGAATGAAATATTTGGAGGGACGCTGAAGCCAAAGGCTGGTCAGATGTCGGTCTGTCCTACAGCCACCTCCAGGGGCACTGCCGCCAATACTGTAACACTAAGCAAGTATCTGCCGCTATCATTCTTCCCTATGAATATAGAGAGAGAAATAGAAACCGTTGTTAGACTCCTTGAGGAGCTCGAGGGCATCTCAGAAAACAAGTTCAACCAGAAACGGACCCAAATACATCAACAGAAAGCAAACTTGGGTGCAAAAAGTTTGACAACAGGCCACGTGCCTTCCCTGCAGCTAGTGGGATACGCAGGTGGGCAGAGGTCAGGGAGAAGAGCCACAAACCACCCTGCAACAGACCCTTCTCGCAGGGGACGAAGGTGAAGCACAATTCAAGCCGTCACACATCTGTGCAGAAGCTGGTCTCTGAGGCAGACAGAGTAAAGCAATGTTCCCATCCGCCAGAAGCAGCCATCTGCCACCAGATTAAGAGACACCGCTGGCCAGGGCACTGCCCTGCCCTCTTCCCAGAGCTCAAAATCACCATCTGTTTCCCAAGGAGAAATGGGGGGAAGGGGGTACGAGGGGAGGGACTGGGAAGACAAATTGCAAAGCCACCAGGAGGCCACAGACCAACATCCGGGGACAGGCACGCAGCAGCGCCTAAGCCACCGTGTAGACCCCCAGCCTCTCACACAGGAACCCAGCTCGGCTCTCCATTCCAGCCTCAGGCTAAACTCCACCCTGGGCCACAGCAGGTGGAGGCTAAAGGTCTCTGGCACCGGATTGGCAGGGACAAGCATTTAGGGAGCTAAATACCACATGGAAGACCTCTTTCAAAGTCGTGACAAATCTCTTCTGGACAAAGATACAGCTCTTAGAATGTGTGTAAGATAAAGGGAGAGGCGTCAGCAGTTGGTAAGGAGCCGCAACTATGCACAGGCTGGCTTCTCTTCCTGCTTAAGTAAGACGGGTAGCAGCTTTCTCATGGGCCTGGCTCATCAGAAGTTAAAGAAGGACTCTGACTGCTACAGTCTGGCTCATGAGGGTCCGACCGCCAGACTGGAGACTACAGAGCGAGGTGTATATCCCAATGAAAGCGGCATGGTCAAACTGCAATGCACTGGGAGTCAAAAGCTCAGGTCTGGCTCGCGCCGTCTTGGAATGATCTTCCAGTCCTTGGAACAAGTCGAACCCCTGTGTGAATTTTCAAATCTATGCAATGCATTAGGTTAGCATGGCAGACTTCCTCCTGCTCAGTGCCCTATGGTTGCCGAGGACGTATACCCCGCCCCAGGACTACACAGCTCTGCAGGAGGCGGGGCGGGGGGAGAGAGAGAGAGAGACAGAGCAAGAAACCTGCCTCACCATGGGCCCCCGGGCCAGGCCTGACCCTGCAAGAAAGAGACGAGGACAGGGAGCCAGAGCCCCGGCTAAGCCCCTACCTGCTGCCGGCCAACTCTTCGATCATGCCCCGCAGCCTCTGCGGCAACTCACTGCCCCCTACTCCACCCTGGCGCCCCGGCCAGGGATGGTTCAATCCGTCCCACCATGGCCAGCCGCCCGCGGCGCCGACAGCAGGACCAGGACCCGCTGCCCGCCCATCCTCACCCAGAGGCGCATGCGCAGGCCCCCCTAGCTCCCGAGCCCCGCCCCCGGACGTGTCCCCAGGCAACCTGGGAAACAGAGTTTCTAACCACGTGACAGAAATCACCAATAGACGCGACGTTTATTGCGGAACTGTTCCTGAATTCGGCCAATGAGACGTCGGCTTCGTTTTCATCCGTACTTTGGCACAGGGTTGGCCATGGCGCCTCCCGTTCGGTACTGTATTCCGGGTAAGTGAGCGGGGCCCGTACGGGGTCAGGGATCTCTGGGCGGGCTGGGCGGCCAGCAGTCGGTGAGGACAGTGACTGAGGGGGCGCTGTTTTCGCAGGCGAGCGTCTGTGTAACCTGGAAGAGGGAACCCCGGGTAGCGGTACCTACACGCGGCACGGCTACATCTTTTCCTCCCTTGCCGGCTGTCTGACGAAGACGAGCGAGAACGGCGCGGTAAACGGGGCGCTTCCCACCCCGCGGGCTTTGTCTGGGGCTGCCCTGGATCCTGGCCCTTCAGACCTGTCTCAGTGACTGTCCGCGGTGACTGGCTGCTGGGCCGGCTGCGGTCATCTCGCATGGAGGGGCCACCCATACCGGGGGTCAACCCAGCAGCGAGCTGCCTGATAGCCCAGACCTGGCCATCCTCCTCCATACACCGCCCCCGGTCGCTCCATACACCGGGGCAGTCGTGGAGCTGCTTCCCTCTCTCCACACACCTGTCCTCCTTGCTCTGTGTGACTCTTAACCTCTTACGGAGAACCTTCTCTGCCTTTGCTGTTTCCAGGAAAGGGCTTTAGTGGTTGGGTTGTATTTTGTACAACGGTCTGAAAGAACAAAGCTCCTTTCCTTCCCAGCACTTGTTTCGGCATGCCCAACTAGACTCTTCATCCCGTGAGAGCAGCCACAGCGCTGTGTCGACAGTGACAGTGGACATTTACCTCAGGGGCACTGCTGTCCTTGCTGGTTCCACAGATGGGTCCAGGAGGGACTCGGGATAGAGTCAGCTGGCTTTGGAGATGCAGCTTAAAGACAACACAAAAGCAAGGGGCTTCCACGTGAGAGCAGCTCACTCCAAAAGGCAACTATGCCCCCATGCCTTAAAACAGAGGAGAACTGGTGCACAGGCTTAGGAAACACTGAGAAATTGCCTGTGCAATAAAATAAGAAAAGAAACTATGTGATTTTAGAGGACGCGTGCAGAGTTATCCACAATTACAGACAATACCATGGTGTACTGAGAAACTTGAGGAGACTCCCGCAAGAAGGTTCCCCTAATGTGGACTAGTTGGACTGTGTCTTCCGGCAGTGGGCTTGCTGGTTCCTGAACAGGCCCTCTGCTCTGGACTGTAAATACATAGTCTGCCTTGTGCCCCAGCTATGTGTCCAGATATTAACGGCTTCCACAAATACATGCACACAAGGCCTAACCGAAATATTCCTGTTTTATTCTCTTTGTAGCTTCCTGTGGTGTCTGTGATGAGAGAGACAGAATCCCAGTTACTTCCAGATGTGGGAGCTATTGTAACATGTAAGGTAAGTTGTTCCCAACCTCCATGCTAAGCATACCATCAGTGCATACTCATGATCATTCTTGAATTGCAGTTTCCATGATGCTAGCCGGTAGCCATGTAGGGCTGAGTGATTAAATGTTATAGTACTGGGGCAAGCAGGTGAGCTAGCTAGAAGATACTGTTAGAGATCTTACAGCCCATGTCAGAACACTTGGGTTCCATCCCTGACTACAGCTTCTGATGAGCGTCCTGCTCACGCACACTCTGGCAGGCTCAAGTAGCTGGGCTCCTACCCTCTAGTAAAGACCAGCCTTTTTTTAAGAATTATTATTTTTTAAGATTTATTCATCTTTATTGGAAAGTCAGATACACAGAGAGGAGGAGAGACAGAGAAGATCTTCCGTCCAATAGTTCACTCCCCAAGCGGCTGCAACGGCTGGAGCTGAGCCAATCTGAAACCAGGAGCCAGGAGCTCTTCTGGGTCTCCCACGCGGGTACAGGGTCCCAAGGCCTTGGACTGTCCTCGACTGCTTTCCCAGACCACAAGCAGGAAGCTGGATGGGAAGCAGGGCCACCGGGATTAGAACTGGCACCCATATGGGATCCCAGCGCATGCAAGGCAAGGACTTTAACCACTATGCTATAACGCCGGGCCCACGAATTATTTATTTTTATTGGAAAGCCAGATATACAGAGAAGAGACAGAGAGGAAGATCTTCCGCCCACTGATTCACTCCCCAAGTACCCTCAGTGGCCAGAGCTGAGCTAATCCAAAGCCAGGAGTCCACTAGGAGCTTCCTCTGGGTCTCCCACATGGGTGCAGGGTCCAAAGACTTTGGCCCATCCTCGACTGCTTTCCTGGGCCATAAACAGGGAGCTATATGGAAAGTGGGACAGCCAGGACACGAGCCGGGCCCTTCAAACTGTATACTTCTTAAAGATCTGTACTGTGTATATCCGTGATCCCTTTGGAGCCCTGTCAGGTGCACAGCTCCTTCTTGAGCGGAGAAGGTCAGTGAGCTTGTCTTCAGTTGTTTATGACTAGAACCTCAGGCTAAAATCTTAGTGCAGTTCATTCGGGACCGCCTCCTTGAGTTGCCAGCTGCCGCACTGCTGCTGCCAACGCGCTGCGTTCCACAGGTCTCCAGCATCAATTCGCGGTTTGCCAAAGTACAAATTCTCTACGTGGGCTCCACACCTCTCAAGAACTCCTTTCGAGGAACAATCCGGTAAGAATTACCCTGTCCTTTCCCTCTGCGTCTGTCTGTCTCCCTACCTCCCTCTGTTTCTCTGTATCTGTCTACATTTCTGTAACTGCCTTGCAAGTAAATAAATCCTTTTTAAGAAGGAAGTGTTCTCTTCATATTTGCCTCAGCACCTAGAATACCTGTAACACAGTGAGATTAGGTTAGAGAGAACAGTTGCAGTTTTTAGGAACAATTAAAGTTCCTACTCCTGCTATTCTTTTGTGCTTTGATCTCCCCCGTAGTATCTGCATTATGTGAGCTGGATCAACAGGAAGATGTTAAAAAGATGTAGAGAGGGTTGAGTAGAACTTAAGATTGGAAATTTTGGATAATTTGAATTTGGAGAAGTACTTTTTTTCCCTTGAATTTAATATAGACTAATCCTAAAAGTTATAAGACATTGAAGGGATTTGTGTATGAAATGTATTTTTGTACACTTTTTTCCTTTAGGATTATTTTAGAAAGGACAAACAAGTCTTTATTACAGGCCGGATAACTTAAGTTTTAAATTTTATTTGCTTTATTTATTTGAAAGAGACACACCGAAGGGTTAGTGCCGTGTCAGGCTAAGCTTCCACTTTTCACACCAGCATCCCAAATACGCACTGGTTTGTGTTCTGGCTACTCCATGTCTGTCTGATCCAACTCCCTGCTTTTGGCCTGGGCAAGCAGCAAAAGATGGCTCAGGTCCTTGGGCCTCCTGTATTCACATGGAAAACCTAGAAAAGGCTTCTGGCTCCAGATCAGCTCAGCTCTAGCCATTGTAACCATTTGGGGAGTGAATCCAGAGGGTAGAAGATCTCTGTCATCTTTGTAACTCTGCCTTTCAAATAAAAGTAAAATTTTTCTTAAAAAAAAAAAAAAAATATATATATATATATATATGAAGACGGGTCCAACGTGGTAGCCTAGTGGTTGAGCATCACTTACTGCCAGAATGAGGAGCAGAGTGGGAACTCAAACCCAGGCTTTCGGTGTGGGATTTGGACAATCCCGAAGGGTGGCTTTTCCTTTGCACCAGACTCCCTTCTCAGTTTGATTTCTGAGGCCCTTCTGTTCCCAGGATTTGAAAAGGGCTCTGTAGCTCTTGTGTTCAAGCTCTTTCTGTTTTCTGCCCCGTGTGCTGTGTCCTGTGCTCAGAGATGCTGGTCAGCTGCACAGCGTGGTCTCTGACGGGAAGTGTTTTCTCCTGGGAGTGAAGATGTGGGAGCATGTCAGCCCGCTCCTCAGGGAGGCAGCTGGGTCTCGGCTGAAACTTCTGTCTGCTCCTAGATCCCTTCATCTGCCAGGAACCTGTGGGACTCTTCTATCTCAAAGATAATTAATCCATGGACTTTTTTTTTTTATAGGAAGGAAGATATCCGAGCCACTGAAAAGGACAAGGTTGTTGGTTTGTTCATTTTTCCTTTCCCAACACTTAGGGAATCACAATCCTTCAGTTATTCAAATTATTGTTGTAATCCTTTTAAATGATTATGTTTAAGGCCCAGGAACTGTGGAGTTAGTTCATCAGACCTGAGGGGGCTGGGTTGTTCTTTGCCTTTAAAACTAAGTTTTTATCCATTGCTGTCCAGATTTAATCCTGGATCCTTTCTGAACCAACTATAGTGCCTGACTTTTTTTGTTTTTTAGATAATTATTTGTTTACTGGAAAGGCAGTTAGACAGAGGAAACTATCTTACATCCAATCATTGAGTCCCCAAGCCAATGCCAAGAGCCAGCAACTTCTGTCAGAGTCTGCCACGTGAGTGGCAGGGGTCCAAGGACCCTGGCCATCATCTGCTGCTTTCTGTGGCACAGTAATAGAACCTGAATGGGAAGTGGAGGAGCCAAGACTAATCAGCACCCATATGGGATGCTGGCATCACCCACTTCAGGCAGTGGATAAATATGCTGCACCACACCACCAGACCCTGTAGCATTTCTGCAGGTAAATTCCTTAATGTGACTCCTGATTGGATTACTGAATTCAAAATCTGCCATTTGTGTGATGTGGAATGACAGGTGCTGATGCCTTCACTCCTATGGGGTGAGACAGAAGGTGGGCTTTCCCAGGGGGGCTAAAGGATGTTGGGCACCCAGATCTAGAGCCTCATTTGACATGACATGTTTTTCTCACAGGTTGAAATTTACAAGAGCTTCCGTCCTGGGGACATTGTGTTGGCCAAAGTGGTATCCTTTATTCCCAGCAGACTCCTGGCTCTGTGAAAAAGAAATGAAAGGAGAGAAACAG